CGACGCACGACGAACGACGCAGGACACACGACGCACGACGCACGACACGCACGACGCACGAAACACGACACACGACGCACGACAAACCACACACGACACACGACACACGATACACGACACACGACACACGACACACGACACACGACACACGACACACAACACACGACACACGACGCACGACGCACGACAACGACAACGACAACGACAACCACAACCGCAACCGCAACCACAACAAGAACAAGAACGAGAACCTGCGCAAGAACAAGATCAACAACAACGACAACGACAACGACAACGACCATGACAACGACAACAACAACGACAACAACACAATCACAAGAACAACAACAACGACAACAACAACAACGACAAGACCCACAACAAGACCAACAACAAGACCAACAGAAACACCAACAACACCAACAGCAACAACAACAATCGCGACAACAACAATAACAAGGTACAACAACAACAGCAACCACAACCACAACCACAACCACAACCACAGCCACAGCCGCAGCCACAACCACAACCACAACGGCAACGGCAACGGCAACGGCAACGACAACGACAACGACAACGACAACGACAACGACAACGACAGCTACAGCAACAGCAACATCGACAACGACGGCGAGAGCCAGCAACAGCGACAGCGACAGCGACAGGCGGCAGCGGCAGCGGCAACGGCAAGGGCAACGGCAACGGCAACGGCCACGGCCACGGCCAGCCACTGCGACGGCCACGGCCACGGCCACGGCCACGGCCACGGCGACGGCGACGGCGACGGCGAACAACACCAACAACACCAACAACACCAACAGCACGAACCAGCACCAACGACACCATCAGCAGCAACAACACCAACAACAACACCAACAACAACACCAGCAACAACACCAACAACAACACCAGCAACAACAACACCACCAACAGCACCAACAACAACACCAACAACGACACCAAAAACAACACCAACAACAACACCAACAACAACGCCAACAACAACACCAACAACAACGCCAACAACAACACCAACAACAACACCAACAACAACACCAACACCAACAACAACACCAACAACAACGCCAACAACACCACCAGCAGCAGCAGCAGCAGCAACAGCAACAGCAACTGCAACAGCAACAGCGACAGCAACAGCAACAACGACAACAACAGCAGCAACAGCAACAGCAACAGCAACAGCAACAACGAGAATGACAATGACAACGACAACGACAACAACAACGACAACAACAACAACAACAGCAACAGCAACAGCAACGACAACCACAAACAACCGCAACAACAACAACAAGAAGACCAACGACAAGACCAACAACAAGACCAACAACCACACCCGCAACACAATCAACAACACCAACAGCAACAGCAACAGCAACACCACCAGCAACACCCACGACACCAACAACACCAACAACACCACAACCGCAAAAACGGCAACGTCCACAGCAACCGCAACCGCAACCACAACCACAATCACAACCACAACCACAACCGCAACGACAAGAGGAAGAAGAAGAACAATGAAAACAAGCGCCACAACAACAACAACAACAACGACCGCAGCAGCAACTGCAATAGCCACTCAACAGCAACAGCAACAGCAACAATGACAATGACAACGACAACGACAACAACAACGACAACAACAACAAAACCAGCAACTGCAACAGCAACAGCAGCAGCAACAACAACAGCAACAACAACAACTCGAACAAGGACAACGACAGCAACCAACAGCAACAGCAACAACAACAGCAACAACAGCAACAACGGCAACAACAACAAAACAACAATAACATTGACAACAACAACAACACCAACAACAACAGCAAGAACAAGCACAAGAACAAGAGCAAGAACAAGAACAACAACAACCACAACCACAACCACAATCACAATAACAACCACAACAACAACAACAAGAACAACAAGAGCAGCAACAACAGTAGCAACGAGAACAACAAGAACAACAACAATAAGAAAAGAAGAACGGCAGCAGCAACAGCAACAGCAACAGCAACAGCAACAGCAACAGCCGCAGCCGCAGCAAACAACCACAAGACAATCAAACAACCAAACAGACAGACAGACAGTCAGACAGACAGACAGACAGAGACAGACAACAGACAGAGACAGACAACAGACAGACAGGCAGGCAGGCAGACAGACAGACAGACAAACAAACAAACATCACCAGCAGCAGCAGCAGCAGCAGCAACAACGGCAACAGCAATAGCAGCAGCAGCAGCAGCAGCAACAACAGCAACAACGACAACGTGAGTCAGGTACCTTCGCAGAAACACCCACTTAGATTCGCAGCCAATGTTTTCTTTTCAGGTAGCCGAGTTAGACAGCGCGGATGAGGCAATTCCTGGCCTTCGTCGCCATCCTCGCCTACGTGATGTCTGGCCTCACCATTGTCGTGGTCAACAAATGCCGGGGCCCGGAGGGGCTGGGGGATGTGTGTGCTTTTGGTATCCCCTTAGAGCTAGCCCTAACCGGGTACAATCAAAAGACACACGCGCACAGTTGGGTCTGCCTCAAAATACGGGACCCCTTTCTTCGGATGGCTTTGACGAAAGCTGATTGGCTATTGGAGGCGTTCGCCAGGCTTTTGCGAGTTGTAGCTGAAGCAGAGGCCCCTTGGAATTGCCAGATATGACGGCGATCTTCTTTTGTAGTGATCCAATAGAGGGCTGGACATGAAAGGGTCAACTAAAGGCAAGGATTCTGGGGTCGAGATGGCCGAAGCTATGGAGCGGACACACTTTGTGGCTTGCCCGAATTCCGGTCGAACCCTTCTCGGACCCCAGGTATCGTGCGAGATAGCGGCCTGCATGCCCCTGCTTTGGTGTCGCCCGGACGCTCAGCGGGCGCCCCCCGGCTATGTCCCCCCCTCTGTGCGTGGTTCGGGGCCAGCACAACAATTCCATGATTTGAATTAAGGGGCCTGGCAGGAAGTGCGCGTTTTCTTTCGGCTTCGTGGTGAAGGACGGCGCAAAAGAGGGGTTTGGAGGGCTGCACGGTGAATAATTTTATAGCGTGGTCACAGCTGCAAAAGGCAGTTTGGAAGAAATCACCCAGGCCGATGGCAAGGCAAAAGGCGGTTCCACAAGAAATCCAGGTCTATGGGTGCCCTCTTCACCGCTGCTATGACTCGCTTCCTCGTCTTTATTGGCAAGGCAGGGCCTGAGCGCGTGGAACAGGGGGGGGAGAAGCAGATGGTTGCTGGGCACAAAAAGCATGATCGATTCCTCGAAAAAAGATAGGTTCCACTCCAATCCGCAGTAAATGGCTGGGATTCGCCCTTGCTTGGCGTGAAAACGGGGGACAGGTGCGTAATGCGTCTTTGCTCTAAAACGGGACCCCCCCTCCCCACGTGGCTTCGCTTTCGTTTTCCTGTAGAACCATCCTGAATAAACATCCACGCATATTTGGAAACATCCATGTTTGTCTCAAAATGCTCGACGGCCTCCAAAAGAATTTTCATGTGGACATCCTTTTGGCGAGCACCTCCATTTTGAGACAGGTCTGTGTCCGTTTGCCAGGTGGGTGGATGGTGTTTCCAAAACCTAGCGCCCTTCTTTGCACAAAACCAGGAAGCCCTTCACCGGTGGTTCTCAGCAGGGAATGAGTGACCGACCCCTATAAACCATCCCTTGTGGTTTCCTTTCTGTAAAGGGACCCCTGGGTTCATTCCCATATGTGGAACGCTCATGCCGTACTGAGAACGAGCAAGATGACCCTTTCGGGACGATCGAAAGGGAGTGTCTTTGAGGTGGGGTGCTTAAAGGTGCAAATCTTGGGCACCCTGCCAGGATTTGGTTTTATTTCCGGCTCGAAACCTGGCCGACGGTTTGGAGGTGGAGGTGAGGGACATTGACTTGACTCCGCCGGCAGCCCAAGAAAGAGAGAGAGAGACCTTGCCCTGAAGATGGGACGAGATGAATAGTGGGGGACGAGTAACCATCAGCTTTTCCACAATGTGGTGGATCTGTGCCAGTGATTTCTGAGATAAATGTGGTAGCTGGGGTTGTATCGACCCTTCCTGCGCATGTGATGGCGCATGATTGATGGGGGAACACTTCAAGGGTTTGGAAAGGGAAACTGTCAAGGTCCCTCGCCTTTCTTCATTTCAGGTTGCGCTTTAAGCGCTTGGCAATCTGGGCTAGCATCCCGCTGGTTCAACACTTTGGGGCTAAACTTGCTGGTTCTCAGTAGGGAATGAGAATTGGAGTGATCCCTAGAACCAATCCCTTGTTTCCTTTACACGGAATCCCCAAAACCGGTTCATGCCCAACACCCGGACTTGTCATTCCCCACACCAAGTAAACCCTCTCCCTGGCTCTTTCCCTTGAACCAGTTTCGGTTTTCCGTTTTCGGTTGCCGCGCTCGCGACTCAGCTGCGCGCCAGGTTGGAATTCGCCATTTGGCGTGCCTTTCCCGTGGGCGTGCTGGCTGCTGGCAGCCTCTGGCCCCGCACCCGCGCTTGCGGATGGGACGGGATTGGTTTGCTGCCGGAGCTTTTTGTTCAAGGGCAACTTGTTCGCAAAAGCACATGCATCCCCGCAACCCTCGCGGAACTCTCGCAGAACCCTCCTCGCCCGGAACCCTTGCGGCTCACAGCACCCTCGCAGAGCCCTCGCAGAACCGCATCCCCGGAACGCTTGTGGAACCTTCACCTTCGCGGAACCGTCGCGGAACCGTCGCGGAACCCTCCTTGGAACCGCCTCGGAAGCTTACCACCCCAAACCAATTTGGGCTGAGACCCCACCGCTTTCAGCTGTTGCGAGACAAGGAAAACATGCTACGCCCCGCAAGTTACGGCCTATGTTGTGCCCAAGGGATGCTTGATCTTGAAAACGCGGCGACGTTTTTTTGCAGCGCTGCCACCCGGTGTCTCCAAGAAAAATATGTTTACTTGAACAAGGGATCCCAAAGAGGTCCATTGGGGGAGGGGAAGGAGGCATACC